CTAAAGTTCAGTTGCCAGGGGCGGGGGTTGTCCATTCAATTATTCGAACAGACCTAACACCTAAGAAAGGGCTCCTAAAAAAAAAAAAAAATAAAAAAAAAAAAAGAAGGGCTCCTGGTGGTGACCTGGGATCAAATGAAAAAAAAAAAAAACACACACAAAAAAAACACACAGTCTAGCAGTCATTTCTATACAGGGGCTTCTCACACAAACTGCACTTCAGGGAGAAGTCTGCAGCAAGCTACCTGCTTGCACTGTGTTCCTGTCCTAGGAGCCAGACCCTATAAAGGAGTTCCTGGAATCCTATTTCAACCAAAAAACTGAGGCTTTCCCTATTCAATTGGAGCTACATAGCTATATCCCCATCAGTATCTAAGCCAACCAATCAAAACAACCCCATTCTGACCATTCAGGACAGTGCCCTTTGAACCAATCAAATTTTGACGATTTGTAGTCCTTAACTGCATGAGGAGAAACCAATATGGACCAGGGGTGGGGACTTCTGCCTATATAAGCCAGCTCCCCTCTGCCTCTGAGAGCTCAGTTTGCTTTTTCACTGAAGAGCTGGAACATTGGGAAGATGTCTCCTCCACAGCCACAGGGCTAGACCAGCTCAGGGCAGAATGCACCTGCAGGGCCAGGGCTGTCTATCTGGTCAGGGCTGCCCCAGGGCCACCTAACAGCCCTGCATGGACTGTATCACAAGTAAGTTGTTTGCACGGAGAGAAGTTTCCTTCTTGAGTTCCCCAAATCGTGGGTTCCTGTTGCCACTTGACATACCCACCCTTCGGACTTCCCTCTGGAGGGACGGACATTTTGGCACTTTGAGCATGAGCAGGCTTTGCCTGAGGCCCCCCCCCCCCGCCCCCCCCCAGATCTCTTGATTAGAAAGGCCAGTTGTCAAAATGTCAAAAGACCTATTCTGAGTCAATCAGGGAAAATTGAACCGGATACTGTGGTTTTGTAGGTGTGATACTGGTATTATGGGAACGTTTGGGGAAAAAAAAACACCCACACAGATCTATCATTTAGATAAACATACTCAAGTATTTAAAGGTGAACGATGTCTGTGGGGAATGCATTACAATTACTGGGGTAGGGGTGGGACAGGTGTGCGTGGGGAGGAGCATAGATGGATAAAAGGAGGCAAGATGCACACGTGATTGAAGCTGGCCGCTGGGTGCGGGCCATTTCATTGTTCTACGTTTGTAGGTCTGAACATTTCCATGATTAAAAAGTTACCCACAACAGCAAGACACTGATCCTGGAGACTCGATGGCTGCAGGCCAGGCATCCAGGCCTTAGGAACGGCCTGTCTTCTTCCTACACCCTTTAAAGAAGAGAACACCTCCTGCCCCCTTCCTCCCTGGAGGTTTCTTAGCAGGAGACTGTTTCCATCTTTGTAAACCAGCCGCAAAAGCGAAGCCTCCCCAAAGGGTTTTGGGGGGGTGAGAGGGGGGGACATTCCCTGCAGAAAGCCTGGGGACGGCTCTGCGCGCTCAGGAGACGGTCTTTCATAGGGTGACTCCCGCCTGGAGCAGGGACCTGAGCCCACACCTCCCCACCGCACAGACACCGCGCTGCAGCCCCGAGGGCGCGGTCTGCGCGGCCCAGCCTTCCGGCGCTGGCGAGCCGCTTCCTCCCGGTCCCCGCGGACTAGGGCGGGAGGGAGGGGCGGTGGACGACCCGGCCTTGTGCCGTTTCCTCCGAGAGCCCTCGTGCGGCCGCACTCGTCCTCCGCCAGCGGGTCGGGCCGGCCTTCTGCTCGCCGCTGCCCGGGAGAGGGATCGGGTAAGCGCGGCCGCGCCGGGACCGGGAGGGGTGCCAGGCCGGGCGCGCGGAGTGTGGGGCCCACAGAGGAGCCCGGGGCGTTCCGAGGGAGGCCCAGGGCGGGGAAGTGCCGGGGCTGAAGCTGGAGCCGGGCGCCGGGGACGTGCAGAGGGCGGAGGGAACCTAGAGTGGGGAGAGGTCCGAGGGCGATCCCGGGCAGGGTGGGGCACACCCGGGGAGTCAGGGGTTGGGGAGCGGGGATCCGATGGGAGGCCCGGGTTCGGGGAGCGCTGGATAAGAACCTGCGGGGAGGTCCGC